ACTGGAGAGCATTATGCTAAGCGAAATAGGCCAGTCAGAGAAAGATAAATATCACATGTTCTCACTCATTTGTGGAATATAATAAACAACATAAACTGGTGAACACAAACAGACTCAGAGACAGAGAAGCATCTATCAGACTGCCAAACTCAGAGGGGAAGTATGGGAGGATGGGGGTAAAGAGGAGAGAGCAACCTAAGGACTTGTATGCATGCATATAAGCCTAACCAATGGACATAGACAACAGGGAGGTGAGGACATGAGAGGGGGTAGGGAGGGAAAGGGGGGCAATGGGAGGATAAGGACACATATGTACCATCTTAATCAATAAAGAAAAAATAAAAAGAAAAGCTTTATCTGTGTAGGTTTATGATATCATTTCCATTAGGTTTTGAAAAATACTGCACTATTCTGGGGGCCTGAGTTTGAGAGCTGCTTCTTTTAGCTCTGGGTCATGGGCCATCTGAATGATGACTCCATTGGCCAACCATTTCCAGTATTTCCTTCTCAGTATCCCTCACTCCAACCCCAACACCATTAAAAACAAACAAAACAAAACCCACACACCCCTTCCTGAAATCACAACATTTGATCACACTACTTACCATTTGCCAGCAGAGCTCATCAAACAAATACCAGCCAGACACCGGGCCAGTCGGACCACTAACTCTGTGGTAGGGCTGTGCTGAGCCCCCGATTTCCACCATCTCGGGGCTAGTGTGGTGGGTGGGTATCAATGTGTACATTTTACAGACAAAGGAGTCTGGGAATTCAGAGAGGTAAAGCGATTCACCTAAAGACAAACCAGCAGGAAGGGATGAAGCCAGAATTCAAACCAAAGTCCCTCCTTTGCAGCCTCTAAATAAAAGAAAAACCTGAAATATGGCAATGTGGAAAGTGACAACACACTATCTCACCTGACATACAGATGGCTGAATTTTGTGTTCTTTAATGTACCTTCTTAGAAGAAATCTGTTGTCTGTATTTTTGAACCTTACTACCCATTGGGAAAAAAAAAAAAAAACACACACACACACACACAACAAAAACAAAACAAAAACCATGTGAAAAGAAGGTGGAATCCTCTATTAGGGCCAGTGTCCAATTTTTCACTCAGAAAACAAGGTAATGTGAGACGATGTGAAGCTATTTCTCCCCCTTGAGACTCCAATTCTCGGAAAATGTTCTGGGAATAAGTACAATCACAGCAGCCCTGCCGACAACACCTGTGGGCAGAGCAGCAAGATGGCCCTGACAGTTTGGTCAAACAGGAAGGAAGGGGGATGGACATTGCTACTGAACACATCGGGGGACTGTACATCTTTATAACCGCTGAAATAAGGTGTCTCCACCTGAATGCTTTGCTCATGCAAACCTTTTAAGTCTTAAAAGCACCCCTGAGTGGGCCAGACATAATACAAATTCCTTGAAACTGGGTTCCAACAGCTCTATTCCAAGGAAGTTCAGTGGGCCTTCCCACTTTCCCCCCATAATCTAAACAAATGAATAAAAAGACAATATTCTCGCCCTTAAATGACCCAGGAGCCAAGAGAATAAAAGATCATCAGGGGGGACGTTTGCCCACCTGAGGACCTGCATAGGAAGTGAATAATCAGATGGAACACTCACTGAGATTACAGCGAATTTTCCCACTTCTCCCTTTCGAAGACAATGTCAAGTGCTGAAATGTGTCACATACCAAGTTTGAAATATAATGTAAAAAAAAAAAAAAAAAGCCCCAAAAAACTGCCACAAAACGTTGGCCAATGCCAAAAACCTATGTTTGAATGTGAGTGGGTGTGTTCATAAAATGTATCTAAGAGGTCTGGTAAGGACAGCTCCCAATTAGAAGACGTTTATATTTTTAGAAGCTGCCTTCCAGCAGCTGAGGCAAGATTCACATCTTCCCAAGTGTCACCTGCCCGAACTGAGACAATATGTCTCAAATGAAAACCTCTCCGGCAGAAAGGATCCTTGGTCTGAACTGTCCTGACAGTAGCAATCCCAATCCAAGGTGGCCTAAGAGACGTCCCGTGGTTTTTGTGTTTAGTTTTGTTTTTCCAACTTAGAGAATGCAATTATTCCTCAAGCAATCACCTATTTTCCTCCAAAATAAGTTAAACCTTCATACAACGACTATGACAGGGAAAATCTCTAGGGGCCCATGTATCTAAGCACTATTGTTTTTATTAAACTTCCAGCATAAGAAAAGATAAGGAGTAGTTTTCTAAGGTAAGGGGTGGGGGGAGTGTGGTGGGTAAGGAGTGGGTTTTGCCCTGTTTGCTTCAATATTTGAGAGTTCTGTCCCTGCTCCCAGGAGGCACCATGGTGACAGACATCCAGGCGTTTCTCCAGGACAGCTGGACCGGCTGATCTGTCCCGGGTCACGCACAGTGGACAGAGGAAATAGTGCTAAATCTATGAGAATGATCTAACTCACTCCCAACTAATCAGAGGGAACAGAACTCACAGAGTGGAGTCGGAAGATATGTCTAATGTCATTCTAGCGCCACCGTATCCTGATTTCTTGTGTGTTACGTTAACTGTGACTTCAAACGGGAGGAAGTGAACCCTGGGTGTTGACAGGTCACACAAGCCAACAGAGAAAGGTGGGGGAGGTGCGGGAGAACCGCCCTGCTGCATGTGATAGCTCTGGTTCCCGGCCTAGGGCAGCAATTAGCAAACCTGACAAGTGTCATTCAGAAAACAAACGGGGAGGAGAGTGGGGGTGGGGGGCAAACTTTGTCACATAGGCAAAGCTGACCCTGACTGTGCATCAGTGTTCTAAGGCTGGGTGTGTGTGTGTGTGTGTGTGTGTGTGTGTGTATGTGTGTGGAACAGATAAAGTTAAGGACACTCACAGCTAAAGAAAAGCATTTCTCAGCCCTGCTTCTCCCATCTCAACCCAGAGATATCTAATCCCTAATTCATTTGAGGTGAGGACGGGGAACTACCAGCTGAGAGTACCTACTACGTGTCTGGCACCGCGAGTCTTCTCTCCCACCACGGACCGCTAGGATCCCTGACGAGGGGAAGGACACCCCTTCTGGGGTGGGTGATCCTGCTTTGCTCCCGCCACTCCTGCCACCCACGCTGCTTCAGGCTCTGAGCCACAGTGAGGCTCAGAAGATCAAGGGGACCAGTCGCAGCAGCCTTTTTAACTTTGGGAAAACCCAATGCTCACTTCACTCGCACATTGCAAAGTGGTGCCATGACCCTTTAGCTCTGGGCTCGCCAATTCAAAGCGCCACATCACATACAGCCCTGACGCTGCCCACCGCGATGATTCTGTATCTAGTTCCTTTCCAGATTCTCCCAAGCGGAAGACAGCTCTGTCAGGGAGTCCTCTGGCCAAGATTACTACGGCATTTAGCTTCTGTCCCTTCTTTTCAGGCGCCTTACTGCGGAATAAGGCGCACCCGTCTCGGAGATGGAGTCCTTCGGTGTAGGCTGGACTTGAGACCTGTATTCTAAAGGAAGCTGCGGGAACTCGGGTGCGCTCCACCTAGCCCAAGTTTCCGCACCTCAAAGATGAAGAAACTGAGGTTCGAAGAGAGTACAGCAGAGTCCATTTCTCAGAGAGCAGTGGGAGGCCAGCGACAGACTTCACTCCAACGCCATGCTTCCAGCCATGCTCATTTTACTGAGCACCTAACTGGGTGGGACATGGGCAAAACTGAAGAGACCACAGATTTCATTCCCTTAACTACGGGTGTGACTCTTTATACACAGTCACACTTCCTCTCTGGGCATTAGTTTTCCCGCTTGTTAAATGGTGCGAGAGGGTGTTGCGTGGGTGACTTCTAAAGTGCTTTTCAGGTCTGAAGCTATCATAAAGCTTGAGGCTATAATTACGTGTCGGTGTATGTGGGTATATACTCATACATACAAACAGACATATAGGGGATAGATCCTCCCTTCCTCCAGTGGATGGACAGAGGTAAACCCCACCTGCGGCCAGACAGTCCTGAGCTCTGAACCACCAATCAGCACCTGCCAAATACCCTAAGCCCCCCCTCCCCTTTCCTAAGTCCCTAGGTCCCTAATCACCAATCAGCGTGTGCTCAGTGCCCTAAGCCCCACTCCCTATCCTTAAAGGTGCTTGTACACTGGCCCTCGCTCTCTTCTCTCTCCGCCTCTCTCTCTGAAAGCAGCCGGCAGAGGTACTCTTCTCTTCAATAAAGCCTGTGTGTGTCCTGCCATCCCGGTCTCCAGCCTTCTCTATTTCATCTATCAATATGCATAGGATATGCTACAATTAAGTGCCATTTTCAACCACACATTTTTTTGCCTAACCCCCCAGTGACTGTGTCTCCCCGGTTCTGAGCCAGGTCTGATGCGCCCCATCAGTGCAGGCCCTTAGAACCCCAGGTGCGTGGCCAGTGTCCCTGGGGCTTCTCTCCAAACACCAAGTGCGGAGCGCCAGAAGAAGGAAGAAGAGGGAAGGCATGCACTTTCCATGAATATTCAGTGTCACTAAGTCCCTTGGAGGAAACAGCAAATCTGTGGCAGGGCCGGGCTGCGGGTAACAGAACACACCTCAGGAAGCGCAAGTTAAAGGTGACAGACTATGGCTGCCTGAACCTGGGGTCTCCCCACTCCACCCCCACACCCCAACCCCTGGCAATGCCCGGGGCGGGCAGCGCATGGCCTTGCGTGGAACAAGGCTGGCTCCACGCCCAGCCCACGTCTGCGGGCAGCACCCAGCTTCTCCCAGCTTGGCACAGCCCACGTGGGCAAACTCTGCAAACGTGCGGGACAGGGCCTGTGGCGGTGGGAACTTGGCTCCCGATCCCTGCATCACGTGGCTGGCCCAGCGGGGATCAAACCACCGGCCCGCCCGCCATTGGACCTCCCCCTAGACAACCCGCCCCCGACCCTCCACCTGAGCGGCCGGCGCTAGGACCCCGCGCGCCGCGCGCACTTCCTCCCGCCGCGGTCCGAGCCCCGGCCCGGCGCCCCCACCCCGCTCCGGCCGCCGCCCGCCGCCCGCCGCCTACCTGGCGAAGCAGTGCTCGCAGTGGTTGCCCCGCTCGTTGGCCGTGAGCACGCAGGCGTAGGCCGGGCAGGAGAAGAGCAAGTCCCCCACCTGGAAGGGACGCAGGGCGCGCAGCCCCCGGCCCTTGCCCGGGCTGCCGAAGCGCTCCAGGCCGTCGCCCTCCTCAGCCCGCATGGTGGCGGCGGCGGCGGCGGCGGCGGCGGGAGGGCGGCGGGCGCCGGCCGAGCCCGAGCAGTGCTCCCCGCGCGCTGTTATTGGAGAAGCGTCACCCCGAGCCGAGCCGCGGGGGGCGGGGTGGGGAGCCGCCCCGGCGGACGCGGTCTCCCCGGAAGGGAAGACGGCCCCGCCCGGCCCCGCGGGGCGGGGGGGGGGGCGCGGTGAGGGGTGAGGCGGGGACCCCGCCCCGAGCGCGGGACCCTTGGCCGCCCCCGCCGCCTCCCGGGCCGCTTCCGGTGCGGCCGCCACAAAGGCTGCAGCCCCGGCGGCTCCTCCGGGAAGGAGGCGGGAGACAGAGGCCTGCGCCTCCGCCGCGTCTCCACGGAGCGCGGGACGCGGTTCCCAGCCGCGGGGCGGGAAGGTCGCCTGCCTGCCTGCGGGGACCCGTCCCGAGGCCTCCCCCCTGGACAGTCAGCCGGGCCCTAGGAGGACCCGCCCTGGGTAATTGCAAGGGGGCAGAGGTGTCTCTCAGCCTGGCGTGCTCGTGTCCTAAAGAAGCCACCACCGGGGAACAGGGCAGAGACATTGCAGTTAGGAAAGTTGGATGTGCTAAGGGTTAGAGGTTTCTAACCTTGTGAGGCTTTACTTCCTCTAGGGTGGCTTTGAGGATAGACTTAGTGTGGACTTAGTTTCCCCTTCTGCCTGCCCCTCTAGAGGGGGTTTAGCTGCAGGGCCCTAAGAGAAAGGCGGGGGTGTGCAGGCTGACGGAGGAGACTGCAGATGTTGAATAAGCAGCAGAGTTGAAGGCTCTTGTTGGGGGCAATGCCAGGCTGTGGCCAGAGCCCTGAGCTGGAGTTTGCAGTGGTTCTCACAGTCATCTTAGAAAAGTCAGGTCAACACCCAAAACATGTACAACAGTGCTAAGTAGCTTTAGTCCCGTGCACATGTGTGCTGTTGGTGTGTTATGATGAGAAAGAAGGATGCAATCTGTGCACCTAGGATTATTATGTAAAGGCCGAAGCTGACGTGCATACAGTAAAGACGAAAAGGGTGAAGAGTTTAGCAGAAAAGTCGGATGCTTACCACTCAGGTTTGTTCTCAAACTATGTTACCCCTGGAAGGTCCAGGATTACTTTAGCAAAATGTGGCTTGGAATATGCCATGAGATCAGTAGACTTTTTGACACTTATTAAATTTCAAAATTGACTAAGCCTCTAGCTTCCCTGCAAAGAAAAATACATCAGGAATGCCATTTCGCTCGTGCATCTTAAGAACTGTTCACTGAGAGCACCCACCATGAGCCAGATAGAAAGATGGACAAAGTGTAGCTCTTTGCATTCAGCACATTCACGATCCAATAACGATTACTGGAGAATTATGGGTCAGGCATCAAACTAAGTGCATTAATCACGATATTTCATTTGATCCGTGGCTACAACAGTGAGTTAGGTGTTTATAGCTCCCGTTTCCAAAATTGGGCAACTGAGAGTCAGAATCATGTCCAAGACCACACATGTCAGTTGCAGAATTTCAACCTCAGTCTGAAATGGAGGCCCACACTCCTAATGTGACTCTCCCGGAGCAAACAAACACAGCTCACTTCATGTTGATGTTACGGTGGCCTGGACAATGTGTTCTGTGAAAATTCAGGCCATGAGGACACACTCAGCCGGAAGAGTGAGGAGGGTGCCACGCTCAAGGGACATTTGAGCTGGGCCTAAAGGATGGATGGGGCTTTGCCAGTACAGGAGCCGAGAACAGTTTTCCGGGCAGAGAGAACCACGTGCAAAGACAGGGACCTCAAAGAACAGTGAGTGTAGTTGGGCCCCCTGAGTGGTCCTGAGCGCAGTGTGAGTGAGTGCTCAAGGGGAGGACAGCTGATGAGGCGGCAGCAACAGGGGAAGTTTTGTCGCAGACATGGGGTGGGAGACCCTGGAAGTGTTTCAGCAGAGGGGGTGCTACAATCAGTGTTCTAGACTCAGTTCTACTGGCAGTCTCGCAGGTAGATTGGAAGGGGACAGGACTGACCACGGGACCGCCGCCGGTTCAGGGAGCATCTGCAATATTTTCAATGAGAGGTGAAGAAAGCCCGAAGGAGGCATTGGGGAAAGAAGCAAAGGTGTTTGAGGATCATTCCCACTTCTTCTTGGGCATCAGGTGTCTCTTCCACGTGGGGGAGATACGTGGCAAGCAGATAACAGCTAGTGTCAACTTTCTTCCTAGCCGTAGCCTGATCGGTCTTACAGGCTGAAGGCAGGAACCATAAGTATCCTAGAATGTGGGGACCAAAAGCGGCATTTTCTTGCTAACAAGGAAAGTAAGGGCCTGTGAAGCTAAGGAGCTGCCTATGTAACCCAGGGACAGGCAGAGCTAGCATGGAAGCCCACCACATGTGCGTTTAACATTTAAATATTCATTACATGCTTACTGTGTTCCAAGCAACAGAGATATGGGCTGCTGATAGAATGGTAACGAAAGCTGACTCATTCCCTGCCCTCGCAGAGCTCTGTACAGAATTCTGGTGGAGGAAGCAGACTTGGATCACATAATCACACAACTATGGACAGTCAGTTGGTCTCAAGGTCTTAGGGGAATCGAACCTAGTCTAGGGAAGCTTTTTTTTTTGGAGACAGTGATGCCTGCACTAAATCCAAAGGATGGATAGAATTTTGCTGAAACCGGTTTGGCTCAATAGATAGAGCGTCGGCTTGGGGACTGAAGGGTCCCGGGTTCGATTCCGGTCAAGGGCATATACCTTGGTTGCGGGCATATCCCCAGTAGGGGGTGTGCAAGAGGCAGCTGATCGATGACTCTCTCTCATCGATGTTTCTAACTCTCTATCTCTCTCCCTTCCTCTCTGTACAAAATCAATAAAATATATTTAAAAAAAAGAATTTAATCAAGAGAAGAAGTGGAAGGATGTGCATTCAAACAGAGGTATATATATATCAGCCTTTGATATATGTATATGTTAATGAAATAAATTTCCCAATCCCTACAAATTTTTGAGTTACATGTCCACATAGGCAGCCCTTGGATAAATTTTGAGGCTGTTTGGTTTTTAACTGATTTCTGGGAGCTTTAAGCAGAACAAAGAAGAAAAGATGACGTGGAAGTAAACACACAGTTATGAACAGTAAACAGTTTACCGTTTCAAGGATCAATTGTGCAAAGTAATCTATTGTTTGCATTTTAGTTGTATGCAATTTTTTTTTCTTCCCTCAGTGAGAAAAACATTAGCATAGCTGTTGAGTTGTCTTCCCAGGCAGGTGGCGGCTGAGGCAGACTTGTTCTTGCGGTGAAGGTGACCGATTTAAGGACACGGGAAAAGGAGCCATCTCCTTTCAGAAACACGCCTGTGCTGAACACAGAGTGACTCAAGATGGAAAAATAGTCAAGCAACAGCCATGAATTGAGGCACTTAATATACAAAGAAAACTGTTTACAATGAATGGCCAAGGAATGGCAACAGACCAGCCTGGGCAAACCGATGACAGCACTCTTAATGCAATCCATACTTGTCACTCTCACTCGGAATTCTCACATTCCGTGAAAGTCACCTTCCAGCTGCCGGGGCCCCTCCGTCTCTTCTTCCACTTGCTCTGCCCACGGTTTGGAAGGAACGGAGAGAGTTCTCCGTGACTTCGCCTCGCTGTAGCTCACCAGAAGTGAGACAAAGATGAAGACCCCCTTTGCTTACTATCTCTAACCTAGAAATTGATCTAAGTAATGGGGGAAATTTCCTTCCAATCACAACTTGGCAGGTGAGGGAAATAGCTCTGGCCTAGGGAAATCAAGCCTTAGCTAAGAGGGAATACGGATGAATGTGGGCAATGGACTGGCACCGTATACTGGCACACCTCTGTGTGTATTCCAGTTATTGATTATGCATCATGTGTCTACACTGAGACCCTTTGTCATACAAAGGTGAAGAGACCAATGTACATGCAAAGAGCTATGCAGTGGCTGAACGATGGCATCTGAGGATATTGTAACCCGTAAACATTAACGTATATCCATGGTCAGCAAACTACGGCTCTCAAGCCACATGCGACTCTTTGGTCCCTTGAGTGTGGCTCTTCCACAAAATACCATGGCCTAGATGAGTCTATTTTGAAGAAGTAGCACTAGAAGAAGTTTAAGTTTTAAAAATGTGGCTCTCAAAAGAAATTTCAGTCATTGTACTGTTGATATTTGGCTCTGTTGACTAATGTGTTTGCTGATATGGTTACCTTAGATATGTTCAGTTAAAGACTTTGAGGTGCCATAAGTGTCCTCGATTATCAGGTTGGCCCTCACTGCAAGCAAATGAGTCTTTATAAGAGATTGGACAGTCAGATAAAGAGGCAACAATGTTACCTCAGAGGCGAGTTGCTACCAACCCAGCAATGCAAGGACCACCAGAGACAAGGAACAGATGTTTCCCGAAGAGCCTCTGGGGTCAGTGTGGCCCTGCAACTCCTTGATTCCAGCCCAGGGATACTGATTTCAGACTTCTGGCTTCCAGCGTCATGAGTGAATACATTTCTGTTGTTTAAGCCACCTGATCGGTGGTAATCTGTCACAGCAGCCACAGGAAACTAATACAAATGATAACGATCAAAGTTTTAATAGGGGAACGAACAAAATGTGGTAGAAGGGCTTCACAGAAGACCTGATATTTTTCGCTCCTTCCAGAAAAAAAATTAAGGATTGAGCATGAAAAAGAGTCTGTGCCCCCTACCCTTACCCCCAAACGGGTTTCAGAACCTGAATATGTAAACTCACTGGGATAGGAGAGAACCTGACAATCCAGAGAATTTTTCTTTTACTTAATAATCACTTCCCTAACTCTTATTAGGTACCAGGTGCACTTTTACATTACGTTCTCACTTTATCCTCCTAACAGCATTTTATAGATGAAGACACTGAATCGCCATAGTTGGGACACTTGTGAACACACTAGGTGAACAGTGGCGGGTGGACTCGAAGCAGGCTATGTAGCTCTGCATCCTTGCCCTGGGCCCCTGCACCTCGCGGCCTTCCTATTTGGCCTGAGCGATAACCATGGGTGGGGACTCTCCAGTGAGGCTGGGGCAGCAGGAGTGGCCCCACATGAAGGGTCTTGTAGAGCTGTGTGCCTATGGTTAGGGCACAGTGGAGCCAGAGAAGGAATTTGGCAGATGTGACCTAATTGTTGCTTT